TTTAGCTAACCCAATGTGTCACCTTACAAAATGGTTCAAAAACCCTTTTATACAAAACCTTTGGAGCTCAAAACAGATCAGAAATAAGCCTTAAATTGATCTAATCCCGCAGCCAAAAGTTAGGTGAAGTTCAGGCAAAACCAGGAATAAAACATCTCGCAGCTTGGCAGTTTATGAATGATTGCTGGAATTTACGAGTGATCACTCAGATTTATGATCATTCGCTCAGATGTAGCACTCTTATCTTGACAACTGGCTACTTTATCCGCTGAGCTGGCGCTGACGTGACATTACGAATGTTTGTAAAGATCTACGAACGATTGTTCATTGAACTGACGATGACACGACAGCCTTATCCGATTGCTGACGTGGAGGAACAATGACGTGGCTTTATAAATGTTTGTAAGATCTATGAATGATTGTAAAGCCATGCCTTGGCAAAATTTGGACTTTTTTTGGGTTTTTTTGAGACTTTTGCTTGACTCAAAAAGGCTGTATTGAACAAATTTTACCTTGTTTGAACCTTATTGACGTGAAATTGACAAAAACACAAATTAGGACTAAAACGGAAATGTAACATAGATGAAGGGACCAAAATACCCTAGCTTAGGGCAGAAATGTGTAATATTTCGACACTTATAACTTAGAATGAAACCTATTTTGTGTAAAGGAATTATAATTATGACAATCAGAACAAGAATTATCCCTTTTCTTTTTATAACAATAGTGTTCACTATGTCCAGTTCTACAAAAATAAGAACAATAAAGCACTTCGGAATTTGGACACATTCTTAGCTTGCATAGGCTCAACAAAAAGTTTAGGCTTAACAATAGGAACATTCAAGTTTAACCCTCTTTACTAGATGAAGCCTCAATAAAACCTACTGCAGTTTTATCACTTACCAACACTAATCATCTTATCAAGCTTAATCTACCCAAAAGTAAAACCAATTAATTTCTTTTGAGATTTTTTCAATTCAAGCTCAAGAAAATTAAATTTGGCAATAAGAGATTCTCTAACAGAATTTGCTTGACTTACCTCGTTCTTAAAGAATTTTACCTTGTCATTAAGATTTTGAATTTCAGATTTGTTCTCCTCAAGCAATTTTTGTTTTTGTTCATTCTCCTTCTTTAAGAAATTATTCTCCTTCCTCGAGGTATCTCTTTCCTTTTTCAAGGCATCTTTCTCCTTTTTCAAAGCATCCTTCATGTTTTTTACTTCTCTCAACTTTTTAGATTGCTCCTTGAAATCCTTACTCAATAACTCATATTGGGTAAGATTTCCTAAACAAAAGAATAATTATTAGCAATATCATCATCAACATGAGTAATAAAAGCAATACAAGCATCTTTATTATTTTTCTTGTCTTTCAATTTAGAAGGATCTCCTTTATTACAATTTTTATTCTTTCTGTTTTTAAAAAACCTTTTAACACTTTTAGACATGAGAGCTATTTCATCATCACAATTTAACTCATCACATACAAAATCCAATTCATCCTTATTCAAAGGATTTTCCATCATAAATTTTTGAACAACAAAAATAATTTTATTTTTCCAAAAACAAAAACAATTTTATTTTTCCAAAAAAATAAAAGTTCCACAAGGATTAACTCAATGTGTAGAGGTTGGTTCTGATACCAATTTGAGAATTGTGTAGCGGAATATTACTTGTGTAAAAAGATTTAGATTTAAAAAACAGATATGTGTCTTTCTATTTTAAACAACTTCACTTATTTTAGCAATTAATCAATTAATCTCAGGCAAGATAAAATAAAGTAAAGTAAAGCAAGTTGAGAGATAACACCAGGATTTTTAGCGAGGAAACCCCAATTGGTAGATAGAGTAACTATTATTGGAAAACCTTGTGGACTGTGCAGTCCAAAGTAAGCCGATCTATTATGCTTAATATAACGTACAATGGACTTTGACTTAGGTTCACATCCTATCGTTCTACCAAACACTAATTGCTAACAATCTTCTGGCTTTACGACGTTTTGTCTAACAGCTCTTAACCTTAGGCTTACTCTTGATCTCTGTAGAAGAATTGCTAGTAAATCAAGCAACACTTCTCGAATACTTTGACCCTTTCAAAGTGTGGTTGCTTCACCTCTGTTCTTCAAGATTTGAATTTGATGTAAAAGAAGTAGATTTGCTTTCTCTGATTATTGTAGATACAATATTCAATAAACTTTGAACATGATCACGAATTTGAACAGTACTTTAAAATCACTCTTGTGTTTATGTGTGTGTTCTAGAAATAAAGACAAAAAAATCATATTTGATTTTCTGCAAAATATCTCTCATACAGGCTTTTTATGAATCAGAAGATGTAATGCAAAAGCCGTATCAACCTAGATGAATATCAAGGTTTATATAGAATGTTTCAAAAACCTAGATATGCATAGGTAAAGGTAATTTTCATGCATAGAACTTTTGGAAAGAATTCTATACCAAATAGGAAGTTAAAATAAAACTGGAAACTAGAATCCTAAATTGTATCAGCATGTGGAATTGGTTGCCAACTTTAGAACCGGTTCCCAAAGGACAGAATGTAATTCTTTGAAGCACAGGTTCTAGAACGGGTTCCAGAATTTGGTACCAGTTCCCACCTAACAGAATTCTTAAGGAATGTTTAAAACTTGGAAAAATCCCTATTTTGGCAACATCGAAAAACATAACATGTATGTATAGTGTCCTAAGTGGGAAACAACTTCCTAAAGTGTTGTTCATACCTTTTTCGTAGATCATAGTTTATCAAATTTGAACAACCTTCGAATTTTGTAGCCGATCTCGATCTTGATTTTATAACTTGAAATTACAACTCGATCGGACTTATTTTGACACCGAAATTAGCCGATTACAAAAATCACAATGAGAACTATTGTGGTTTCTTCAATATTAGTCTCAAAACTGGCCATACCCATTGTAGAAATCTTTTTCGCCCCTTGTCAAAAGTCACATTTCTTGTTGCTAAAGTAGTCATTTCTCATTAAATTATTTTTATTATCTTCTTTCTTATTTAATTATTTTTTATACCATTTACCATTTTATTAGTAGTGTCAATTTATCATAACAATGAAAAAATAAATAGATTTTTTTGGGTAAATAAAAAATTAAATAAATAGAGTTGTAACTACAAATTTCAAAAATGATTAACTTATTAGTATTAAAACTTTACTATTAAAAATAAAATTTATTATATTCGGTATAAACTTTGTAACAATAACTTATTTTTCATACATTATATTCATAAAAAAAATTAATAAATTACTTAAATTAAAAATAAATAAAAATAAAAATAAAAAAAGCCATTATTATCATAGTTCCCACAACTATGCATTAAACAGCTAACTTTTTCTTTCTTTATTTTTTTTTTTTCCCGTGAATCAAACAGCTATTTTAGCTTGTACCATACGTGGAGTGTGTGTGTATATAAATATATATTTAGAATGTTTTCTACCACGGTCAAAAGCCATGGTAGAAAGTGAGTTTTATACCAAGGTTAAATGTCGTGGTAAAAAACATGTTTTCTACTATGGTTAAATGTCGTGGTAAAAAGCATGTTTTTTACCACGGTTAGTACTGTGGTAGGAAGTACGTTTTCTATCACGATAAAGAACCGTGGTTAAAAGTCATACATTTGCTACCACAGCTAATACCACCACAATTCAAAATCGTGTTTTAAAGCTTTTTCCACCGTGGTTAAAAACAATTTTTTATGTAGTTATACACCTAGTTAGTTAATTCACGTATGATACGCGAATTAAACGCGTACGTATGAATTTTGGGAAAATACTTCCGTTTGCCAATTATAGTTGAAAGATACAGTAAAATACGCGTTTTTTTCCATTACCCCGTATCTAACGCGTTTATTCGTTTATTCGTTTTAGTCGCTCCGTTTAATTCGTAACCTAATTATTTTATTTTCTTTTCGTTCACAAACTTCACGTTTCTAATAACCTATTTTTCTAAAATACAAATTACCGTCTTTTCTATCCTTTTTTGCTTCTATAACCATTATCTTTCGCGCTATCAAAATAATATTATTTGTGCAATCGTGGAGAAGGTTGTGACCATTCTCTCACTCAGTTGTTCTACATTCAAGGTATCACTTTTTTCTTCTTTTTTTCTTTTTTTTTTTTTAATCTCTTATTGTTGTCACTCCATTGTATGATCTTTAATCAAAATAATGAAAGATATATATATATACTTGTGGAATACTATAATGTTGAAGAATTATAAGTTTTTATTGATATTTGTAGATATTTATAGATTTTTTATTTTGTTGTGAGATCTTTTAAATTTTGTTTGTATCTTTATTGTTATTATTTTAGAAGTTTGTAAATCACCACACTCCTTAGATGTTTTAGTAGAGTATCACATTATATACTTATGAATTTATTATAAATATATAGGCTATTAAGGAAAGATGTGAAAAAAGAGGGATGCATTTTGGGATCACGTCGAACAATTACAAGGTCGTTTCATGTGTAAGTATTGTAACTTAAACTATCCTGGAGGTATTTCAAGAGTCAAATCACACTTATCTTGGGTAAAAGGTAGAGACATTGAAATTTGTTCAAAAGTACCGCAAGAGGTTCAAGCAGCTGCATTTTTAGCAATTGGTGGTCCGAACAAAAAAATTAAAACTACAGTTACTCCAATTGATGTTGAGCAAGGTGGGTCTGTTAATTTTTCCTCTTCATCTTCAAAGGGCTTACAACAATCTATCATGCTAGAAACAATTAAGAAGATGGATAAGAGTGAGGTGGATAAAAAAACTTGCCAAGCACATTATTTTGAATAATATTTCATTTAATGTGGTTCAGACTCAATCTTTTATTGATTTCATGAAAAGTGTTGCTGAATTTGGGTCAACATACAAATTACCTAGTTACTCAACTTTACGCACAAAGCTAATACCAGATTCTAGGACATAAGTAGAGGCATACATTGGGAATGTGAAGAAAACTTGGGTTGCTACAGGTTGCACACTAATGTCAGATATATGGAGTGATATGAAGCAACGTGCATTTATCAACATAATTGCATATTCACCTGGTGGGGCAGTATTTATGAATTCATTTGAAATTTCAAAGGATAAAAAAACAGGTGTTTATCTAAAAGATATTATGTCATCAGTAATTGAAGATATTGGACCTAATCACGTTGTGCAGTCCATTACTGATAATGCATCAAATTTTGAATCAGCTGGTGACATGTTTATGGGTAAGTACCCTCGTATGTATAAAACACGATGTGCTGCTCATGGAATTCAGCTACTATTGAAAGATATTTATTCTGAAGTTTTGTGGATACATGATATTATTGATTATGCAAAATTAATTGTGACATATTTGTACAAGCACACTATTATTTTGTCATTAATGAGAGAGCACACAAATCATAAAGAACTCAAACATCCTTGTGCGACTAGATTTGCCTCCAATTTTTTGATAGTTCAATCAATTTTAGAAGTTGAAGATGGATTGCGATTACTTGTGGCATCTTCTGAATGGAGGGGGTTGGATTACAACAAAAGAGGGATAGGACTAAAGGTTGCTAGTATTATTCAAAGTGTTGAGTTTTGGAGTAAAGGGAAAGAAGTAATACAAACTCTAGAGCCTTTAATTAGAGTTCTTCGTTTGGTTGATGGAGATGGTTCAACTGCAGGATATTTGTATGAGGTGATGGAAAGAGCAAAAGAAACTATTAAACAACGTTGTTGTATTAATCAAGCTAATTACATGCAGATATGGGTGGTATTTGAAAAATGGAGAATTGAAAATGTAATCCACCCAATACATGCAGCTGCTGCATTTTTAAATCCTGCCTTCATGTGTAGCGAGGACTTCAGAGAAAATCATGAAATGAAAGACGGTATAGATTTTATGTTAGGAAATTTTATTATTGAAGAAGAAAAGGAAGATTTTATTCGAGAACTGCAATTTTACCGTATGAAGACCACAACTTTATTCACAAATACAACAAAGACAATGTTGAAAACATCTCATCCTCGTAAGTTTTTATTTTTATTTTTTAAAATATCTTGTTAAAATTATAATAAGCTTTATATATTTAGTTTTATTATTATTATTATTATTTTTTATTATGTGTTGGAGTTTGGTGGGATTATTGTGGGGATTGTCTTCCTGTGCTACAAAAGTATGCCATTCGTATATTGAGTTAGCCTTGCAGTTCTTCTTCATGTAAGAGAAATTGGAGTGCTTGGGAAGCTGCGCAAACAAAGAAAATGAATAGGTTGGCACCTACAATGTTGGACAATCTTGTATACGTAAGAATGAACACAATGATTATGGAAAAATTCAAAACACTCGAAGCACAAGATTTGGAGCCAATTAATCTTGACAAACTTAGTGACAATCTTGAATATGTTGATCATGAAGAATTGGAGGATTATTCCTTAGAGCCAACAGATGATGTTTCTAGTGATATAGTCACCAATAATGAAGATCTTTCTTGGTTAGATGGTGTTATCTAAATTTAGAACAATTTTTTATTTTTATTTTGGGTAACATAGTTGATTATTTGAATTAGAATTTTTTTCATTAATTTTGTGATGAAATTGATCATGTTATGGACATATGGTTATTGTTTCATTATATTTAGATAGTTTTTTTTTATTTTATTTTATGATTATTATGATAGTGTCAATTGTAATATATTTATTTTATTATTTGTTACATATTATTTATTTTCCTTACAAATATATGATATATAAGAAAATAATAAGATGTGTATAGCCGAATTTTTGATCCCGAATTTCTAGTGTATATAACGTATTATACACGTACGTATTCGTATTCATATTTTTACGTTTTCGTATTTTTTTGCCTAATTTTTTAAACGTATTTTTTGAAAAATATCGAATTATACTCGTACATTTCCGTACCCGTATTTTTTTCGTACCGTATTTTACTAATTATGGTTATACATTCATAAACCAAAAATACAAACCAAATAAATTGAATCCTTAGGATTTGAATCAAATTGTAATTATCTTATATTTAGTGGTTATAATCAGTCATATTGTATCCGAGGAAGGAAGTGAAGTTGTGAAATCATAATATGAATTTGATAGAAGAAACCACTTGTTCAGAATATGAATTTGATAGAAAAGACCATTTGTGTAACGACCCTAGCTGATGCCAAAATTTAAAAAAAAATCGGCATAACCTCCCCTAAAAATGGGCCTTCAACAACCTGTCCCAATATACAAAACACATAAAATCATCTAGCATCCCATTCATCCGTTCATTATACCTTAACATAGTTCCTTTCATGGAAACATATACCATAATTCCACTAGTTTCATTTACATCAAACAAAAGATAAGTTCGTTCTTAAGTTACAAGGCCATGAATATTAACTTAGTTACATTTCCACAACTACAAATATACATAGAACGGTCAAAATACAAAATAGCAAACAACCTCCTAACAACTTTCAAGCTTGAGGTGGATTATCGTCCACCAGTTCATTTCCAAAACCTGAAAAAAATAATATAAATAGTAGGGTGAGCATAAAGTTCAGCAGGTGACACTTAAGACACACATCTTGTGTCCTTGTGAATCCAAACAAAGCATAGGCCAATAGGAAATGGGGATTATACAATGTCGGGAAATAATACAGCATAACGATTCAATGTCAAGTATATCCAACGCAATGGTATGAGATGCAATGCATACTAGTGTCGCTCCCCATTTTCATAATCCAAAACATCATTTCCAAACTGTTAATACAGCCCGCCCCTTGGTAGCCCCGCCGCGACACGAGAGGGGGATTGGCTAGTGTCCCTGACCCTTGGTAACCCCGCGGCGTCATTATGGGGCCCAGCTAGCTCAACTACGCTAGGGCGACTCCCTAGTCCCCTCTAAGCTATATTAACCTCTGGCCCGTTGGTAACCCCGCAGTGACCGGGTTTCGCATAAAACCATTTCATCAAAAACACTTCCCTAAAATTCCCCATATTTATTTCAAGAACAATTTCTCCCATTTCATGCAAACCCAATGGTATGTGCATGTATCTATGTTCCATACATTCAATGTCATGGCATTTAAAATTCTACACCACAAAATTAAACATTCAACATGTTCAACATCTCCCAAGTAATTATTAACACATTAAGATACATCAAAATACATTTAAGCATGCTTTACACATAAAACAACTCACATTCAAATACATGAATTTCTCTAGACAACATTTAAAATAATCATTGATACAATTAACTTCTAATTAAGCATTTTTGGCATAACAAATTATTACAACTCACAATGGAACAAGCGGTAGTGGATTAAGGTGTCCCTACCTCAAATTTGCACAAAACCCTTAAAATGGGTCTTGAATTTCGAACTCCAAGAAGGGCACCAAATCTGGAATTGTTCATATGGATGCGTAGAGCTCGTCGTGGGCTTCGTTTTGCCTCAAACGGCACCTAAATCCGCCAAGTAACGAAGAATAAATCTTGCCTCGAAGATTGGGTTGAAAAAGAAAAGAAAATGAAATAGAAAAATTGAGAGAGAGATAGATACGGGGAGAGAGAAAGAATGAGAGACCAAAAATGGTCTCTAGCCACTTAAGGCTTAGTGGTGGGACCCACCAAAAATTCTTTTCTTTTCTCTTTTTCTTTTTCTTTTTAATTTACAGACATTACATTCTCCCCAACTTTAAAAGATTTCGTCCCCGAAATCAAGACATACCTGGAGAAGAAAATAACTCTGGATACTTGGAGCGAACCTCCTGTTCGAGCTCCCAAGTAGCCTCCTCGACTCCGTGGTGTCTCCAAAGGACTTTCACCATTGGTATCGTCTTGTTCCTCAACACCTTTTGTTGTATGTCAAGAATCTGAACTGGTCCTTCCTCGTAGGAAACATCCTCATCAATGTCTACATCAACCCAACTCAAAATGTGAGATGGATCTGGCTCGTACTTCCGTAACATCGATACATGGAAAACATTGTGGACCCTATCCAACTGTGGTGGCAAAGCAAGTCTGTAGGCAACCTCTCCTACACGGTCCAAAATCTCAAATGGTCCAATGAATTGTGGAGACAACTTGCCACTTTTCCCGAATCTCATCAATCCCTTCCGTGAGAAACCCGAAGAAAAACGTGGTCTCCCACCTCAAAGGATAACGACCGTCTCCGCTTATCCGCATAACTCTTCTGTCGGCTCTGAGCTGTAAGTAACCTCTGTCTTATCAACTTAATCTTCTCAGTAGTCTTGAGTACAATGTCAGGTCCTAAGGCGGCTGTCTAGCCTACCTCAGTCCAACAAACAGGAGACCTACAAGGTCTACCATACAACGCCTCAAATGGAGCCATTTGAATGCTCGCCTGATAACTGTTGTTGTAGGCAAATTCAATAAGTGGAAGGTGATCCTCCCAACTACCACCCAAGTCAAGCACACATGCCCAAAGCATATCCTCCAAAATCTGGATAGTACGCTCTGACTGACCGTCAGTCTGTGGATGGAATGCCGTACTCAGGTGCAACGCTGAGCCAAACGCTGCTTAAAGTCCTTCCCAAAACTTCGAAGTGAACTTAGCATCCCTATCTGAAACAATGGTTACTGGAACTCCATGCAACCTTACAATCTCCTTCACATAAAGAACACCAAGCTTCTCTGCATCATCTGTTGCCTTAATAGGCAAAAAGTGAGCCGTCTTGGTCAATCTGTCAATGATGACCCATACGGACTCATTGCCCCTTCGTGACCTTGGAAGACCTGTCACAAAATCCATAGCAATATGCTCCCATTTCCATTGCGCTACAGGTAATGGTTGCAACAAACCGGCTGGTCTCTGATGCTCGGCCTTCACCAGCTGACAGGTAAGGCATCTAGCCACAAACTGTGCAACATCTTTTTTCATCCCGTTCCACCAATACTGACATCTCAAATTTTGATACATCTTGGTACCACCTGGATGAACTGCAAAGCGGGAAGTGTGAAACTCCCGTAAGACGTCCTCACGATAAACAGTAGGAACCACCAACAAACCCCTGAACCGTAGACCCCCATCTGTATACAAAGCCCAATCTTTCACTGTCTCACTACTGGAGATCAAAACGTGAATGGCATCTAAATCCGGGTCCTGTCTCTGTGACTCAATCACTCGTACAACAAGAGTAGACTGAGCCATAAGACTAAACAAGAATGCCGGCTCGCTGTCAACATCATCATCAAAACAATACAATCCCATCTCTACCAAATCCTTAAGCATCTTCCACTTCCGAATAACCAGACAGGCCAAAGTTCCACGAGATTTTCGGCTTAAGGCATCTGCTACCACATTTGCCTTGCCCGGATGATACTGCAAGTCAAAATTATAATCTTCCAAGAATTCAACCCATCTTCTCTGTCTATTGTTCAAGTCCTTTTGGGAGAAAAGGTATTTGAGACTTTTATGATCCGAGTACACCTCAAATCTTTCACCATACAAGTAGTGTCTCCAACACTTCAAAGCAAACACAACTGCCGCCAACTCCAAATCATGAGTAGGGTAGTTGTACTCGTGAGTCTTCAACTGTCGAGACCCGTAAGCCACTACTCTACCATCCTGCATCAACACACACCCTAAACCATCACGTGAAGCATCACAATAGATCACATAACCCAAGCCACACTCAGGTATCACCAACACTGGAGCCATAGTCAATCTTGTCATCAATTCCTGGAAAAATGACTCACAGGCTTCATTCCATGCAAACTTAATCCCTTTCCGGGTTAAACGGGTCATAGACGCCGCCAAACGGGAGAAATCTTTCACAAATCTCCGGTAGTAACCCGCTAGACCAAGAAAACTATGATCTCAAACACATTCTTGGGTTGGTTCCAATTCAAAACAGCTTCAATCTTTGATGGATCAACTAACACTCCGCCTTCTGAAACAACATGTCCCAAAAACTTCTCCTCTTGTAGCCAAAACTCACATTTCTCATATTTGGCATACAACCGGTGCTCCCGCAAAATCTGTAAAACAATACTTAAATGGATCTCATGTTCCTCCCGAGATCGTGAATACACAAGAATGTCATCCACGAAAACTACCACAAACTGGTCCAAGTAATCGTGAAAGACGCGGTTCATTAAGTCCATGAATGCCGCTGGAGCATTAGTCAAGCCAAAAGGCATAACAAGGAACTCATAGTGTCCATACCGTGTACGGAATGTTGTCTTCGGGATATCCTCATCCCTAACCCGCAACTGATAATGGCCAGACCTCAAGTCAATCTTAGAGAAACAACTAGCTCCCCTCAACTGATCAAATAAATCATCTATCCTTGGCAAAGGATACTTGTTCTTGATGGTGGCGCGATTCAACTTCCGATAATCGATGCACAACCTCAAAGAACCATCTTTCTTCTTAGCAAACAAGACCGGTGCGCCCCATGGTGACACACTCGGTCGGATGAAACCTTTCATCCTCAAATCATCAAGCTGTCTTTTTAATTCCTCCAATTCAACTGGTGCCATA